CGACTTTATGATACCCTACACCACTTTGCTAATTAAGTAGAGCTCCACATAACAATTAAAAGTTTTTTATGGGAGAATTCAATCATACACGCTATGATTATAATTATAACTTAAAGTTCAAAGGACTAAATACGCCGAAGCATTTGTATCTTTTAAATTCGGAATTGTATTGCCCATTTGGTGCACAATTAATTTGAAATCAGATAAAGATATATATGGGAGCTATATCCAAATCTGAACCAATCTCGATAAAATTTGGCAAATATATTTCTGAGCTGTATTTGATATATTTCCCTGAATATCGTTGTTACGGAGTGCATATTACGGTTGTGGGTAACAAATATAACAAATCGGATGAATAATATATATGGGAGCCATAGCTATATCTGAACCGATCTTCACCAAATTTGACACACTAGCTTCTAGACTCAATTCGGTCGTGAGTGCCAAATTCCATCCCATTTGGACAAATATTAGATGTTTGGTGCCCAATAAAAGGTAAATCGGACGAAGTTATATATGGGAGCTATATCCAAATCTGAACCGATCTCGATAAAATTTAGCAAATGTATTTCTGAGCTGTATTTGATATATTTCCCCAAATATTGTTGGTGCATAGTGCATATTACGGCGGCGGTGGACAAAAATAACAAATCGGATGAACAATATATATGGGAGCTATAGCTATATCTGAACCGATTTTTATCAAATTTTGTATACATATTTCTAGGTCTAATTTGGATGTATATGCAAAATTCCATACAATTCGGGCTGATATTACACGTTTGGTGGACAATAAAAGGCAAATCGGACGAAGATATATAAGGGAGCTATATCTAAATTTTGACCGATTATCTCCAATTTCAATAGGGTTCGTCCTTGGGCCAAACAAAAGATCTTCGCAAAATTGGATCGGTCAATAAATGTGACCTGTACTTTGTTTACAAAAATACACGGACAGACGGACGGACGGACATGCATAAATCGACTCAGAATGTGATTCTATGCAGATCATCAAAAGGAACTATGGGTCTATCTCGTTTCCTTCTGCCTGTTACAAACAAATGCACAAAGACATAATACCCTGACCACCTTGTGGTGTAGGGTATAAAAAAGAACAACACAAAAAGAGTTGCTTATACCAAACCTTTGGACCCGATCTCTTAATTTTCAAAATTTTCTTAGCGCTGCATATGATGATAACATTTTTATTAACTTTTACTGCATTCGATTATTTTTAATACGAATTGGAAAATGTTCAGTTAAGCCTAACCCGTAGGAGTGACCCTAATGGCAAATTTTCGATTTTTAACACTCACCCCTGAAACGTTGATACATTCCAGATACATTCCTTCTATCTGTCCGTCTGTCCATGTATTTTTGTAAACAAAGTACATACAGTTCGCATTTATTGTCCTATTCAGATGAAATTTTGCACAAATCATTTGTTTGGCCAAGGACGAACCCTATTGAAATTGGAGATAATCGGTCAAAATTTAGATATAGCTTCCATATATATCTTCGTCCGATTTGCCTTTTATTGTGCACCAAACGTGTAATATCAGCCCGAATAGTATGGAATTTTGCACATACAACCAAATTAAGCCAGAAAATAAGTATGCCAAATTTTATCGAAATCGGTTCAGATATAGCTATAGCTCCCATATATAATGTTCATCCCATTTGTCCTTTTTGTCCTCCGCAGCCGTAATATGCACTCTGTAACAACAATATTTTGGGAAATATATCAAATACAGCTCAGAAATACATTTGCTAAATTTTCAGATCGGTTCAGATTTGGATATAGCTTCCATATATAACTTCGTGTGATTTACCTGTTATTGTGCACCAAACGTCTAATATTTGGCCAAATAGGATGGAATTTGGCACTTACGACCAAATCGAGTCTAGAAGCTAGTATGTCAAATTTGGTGAAGATCGGTTCAGATATAGCTATGGCTCCCATATATATTGTTCATCCGGTTTCTAGTATTTATTACCCAAGCTGTAATATGCACTCCGTAAAAACGATGTTCAGGGAAATATATCAAATTAGGCCTGAAAATAAGTATGCCAAATTTGATCGAAATCGGTTCAGATATAGCTATAGCTCCCATATATATTTTTCATCCGATTTGTTGTATTTGTTACCCACAGCCGTAATATGCACTCCGTAACATTGATATTCAGGGAAATATATCAAATACAGCTCAGAAAAACCTTTTCCAAATTTTATCGAGATCGGTTCAGATTATATATCTTATTATATATTTATATATCCATATATATCTTTATCTGATTTTAAATTATTTTTGCACCAATTGGCAATACAAGTCCGAATTTAAAAGATACAAATGCTTCGATATAATCATATCGTGTATGATTAAATTATCCCAAAAAATCTTTTAATTGTTATGTTGAGCTCTAATAAATTAGCAAAGTGGTGTAGGGTATCATAAAGTCGACCCGCCTGACTTTAGGACTTTATTTACTGGTTTTTTTTGGATACATCCGGTAGGATCGCGAGATTTGGCGATGGTTTGAAAATGTGTCATATATTTGTACGGAAAGTATTGAATAGTACTAAATTTGGTACTGGGTGAAGGGATTCTAAAATATGATATTGAGATCTCTGTTGGTATTTGGAATTAAGATATGGTGCTGGTTTTGGAAATGTGTACTATATTTGTACGAAAAGCACTAAATGGTACTAAATTTAGTATTCTGAAATTTTATATTGATGCCACTGTTGGTGTCTGCAGTTGACAGAACGAAGTTTGTTTGGAACACGTACTATGAACGTACGTGAAGAACAAAATGCCACAAAACATGCCCATAGGTTGTTGATATAGAAATTAAGTTCTGACAGTAACGAGGATGGTGTCTAAGGGTGGAGAGAAGGAGGTGGTTTTGGGCATGTGTAGTATAACTGTACAAAAAGTATGACATTAAATTTGGGAATGGAACTTAGGATAGGGCTGGAATACTGAAATGTGATATTTAGGCCACTGTTGCTATATATTTCTGTGAAAAGGAGGTGGATTTTGGAATCCGTACTATGATTTTCGATAAGTACTTAATGGTACTAAATTTCCAGTTGAGGGAGCTTGAATACTTAAATTTGGTATAGAGTTCACTGTTGATTTCTAGGATTTAGGTATGGCAAAGAAAATTGAATGTGAATCCATTGTGCAAGGGCTTAACTAATATCCTAATATGACTCTATCCAGTTTGGCCTGAGAACCTCAAAATTTTTGATATATTATGGAAATAATGATTACTTTTTTGTTGTGACTTCTGGTAAGATTTGATGAAAAATATTTTTGTCCCTGACGTCATCCTTCTGAAATTATGCATTGTAGGAGAATTAAATAAACTCGCATTAAGTACAGCTTTAATCCTAAAATGTGTTTTCAATATTTCTATTTTTAGCTATACTTTCATAATATACTGAATTTGTTCTATAATTATTGAAAGCATTTTGCTGCACTGTGTAATTATCAATTATAGTAATTTTTAATTGCTAATAATGTCGGTAATTAACGAATTTTGTTGTTAAATTAGCGACGAAAATAAGGTAGTCTCTATTTATACCCTACACCACATAGTGGTAAGGGTATTATGTCTTTGTGCATTTGTTTGTAACATGAAGAAGGAAGCGAGATAGACCCATAGTTACTTTTGAGGATCTCCATAGAATCACTTTCTGAGTCGATTTATGCATGTCAGTCCGTCTGTCCGTCCGTCCGTCTGTCTGTCCATGTATTCTTGTGAACAAAATGCAGGTCGCATTTATGTCCGATATCCGATTGAGATGAAATTTTGCACATATCATTTGTTTGGCCCAAGGACGAACCCTATTGAAATCTTCGTCCGATTTGCCTTTTATTGTGCACCAAACGTGTAATATCAGCCCGAATAGTATAGAATTTTGCACATACAACCAAATTAGGCCTAAAAATAAGTATGCCAAATTTGATCGAAATCGGTTCAGATATAGCTATAGCTCCCATATATAATGTTCATCCCATTTGTCCTTTTTGTCCTCCGCAGCCGTAATATGCACTCTGTAACAACAATATTTGGGGAAATATATGAAATGCAGCTCAGAAATACCTTTGCTAAATTTTATCGATGTCGGTTCAAATTTGGATATAGCTCCCATATATATTGTTCATCCGATTTGTTGTATTTGTTACCCACAGCCGTAATATGCACTCCGTAACAACGATATTCATGGAAATATATCAAATACAGGTCAGAAATATCTTTGCCAAATTTTATCGAGATCGGTTCAGATTTGTATATAGCTCCCATATATATCTTTATCTGATTTCAAATTAATTTTGCACCAAATGGGCAATACAAGTCCGAATTTAAAAGATACAAATGCTTCGGCTTAGTCCTTTGAATCTTAAATTATAATTATAATCATAGCGTGTATGATTGAATTCTCCCATAAAAACTTTTAATTGTTATGTGGAGCTCAACTAAATTAGCAAAGTGGTGTAGGGTATCATAAAATCGGCCCGCCTGACTTTAGAACTTTCGTTACTGGTTTAAATTTAAATTCTTTGACAAATTAAGATTTGCGTTTTAAATGCCACTGATTTTTTGTTGGTAGCATGAAATGTTTGAAACGTACCTTCATATCTTTAATATTTTGAAAATATTTTAAATTTGGGGTTCCGTTTTGTTTGGTGGACCATTCAACTTCTAGCTGTTATAAAAAGCACTTTTTTGCAAAACATATACATACATACATATTTTTTTTTTTTTTTTTTTGAAAATTATCCATATTTCATTTTCTAACAAATCAAAATTTATTTAAAATTTTAAACTATTTCGAAAATATATTGACTCAATTTTTCCTATTCAATAAAAATACTTTTCGCCTCAAGTTTCACTTAAAATTTCACGTAATGATAGCAGTGACATATTTAATGCGATGATCCTTTCTCTGTGTTGATATTAATGTTCTCCAACAATGTCCATTACAGAAACATTCGGACAAGCCTCCATCCCTGTGGCTGTGCTATTTGAAAAACAGTTGGCGGATGTTCACTTTGGGTGGTCTTTTAAAGTTGTTCGGCGATTTATTTGCGGTGATTGGCCCGTTGGCTATACAGCAAATTGTGCAATATATCGAAATCATGTATGGCATACATTACGATAGTCAGAGCGATAGCAACAACAACAACAACAATGAGAGTAAGCAGAATTTCATTTCTGATAACCATCAAGCGGGCAGCATCGGCAACAACAACACCAACAACAATATAAGTAAGTAATGGTAATAACAATACATCAATTGCACAAAATTACCACCCTCTCCCAGGAGAAGCAAATGCTTCTCATTATCCCCCTCCCTCTCTCTCTCTCTCGGTATGTGTGTGTGTTTCTATTACCAATCTCATTGTGTCATTATAGGAAGAAACATTAGAAGTAACCAGGCCATTAATGCCAGAGAAATAGCCCAAAAGGCAGTCAATGTCGTAACTGATGCTGCCGCCGCAGCTGCCTCTGCTGCTGCCATTGCAACAGGATCCAATGCAAATACAACAAGAGATCCAGCCTGGATGCTACCCAGTTACGACACCATTGATAACAATGATTTTGGAAATATTAATACCGATGTGTATAATCATCAAATTGCCAATGGTAACGCAACCACCACACAGCCTTATGCCCCACTTCCAGCTGGCTTTTCATCTTATGCCTCGTCCTACTCCCCACTGGGTCTTGACGGCATCGCCAGTGTGAGTGAAGTGGAAATTTACTATGCCACATGGTTGGATTTGGTAACGAATGGCTGGTGCATTGCCTGGCTGGTCCTGTTGGCTGCCCTGGCCCAGGGTGCCTTGTCACAGGCATCGACGCACATCCTTAATATGACAGGGATTCGCATCAAGACATCACTGCAGGGTCTCATCTATCGTAAAACACTATTGTTAAATTCGGCATTCATTGACACAAACAGCAGTAATGCCTCCAACACCAACAGCATCGCCACTGCCTCCAAGAGCTTGGAAGACACAAAGGAAACTGAAATGTCGAATGACTTGCAACAATCGAATGATAATCATTGCAGAACGGAAAATGGTGTGAAGAATAGTAATTGCAATACGACGATGACAACGACATCTAGGTCAGATAATGATAGTCTCATTGATGATACCAATGGAGGTGGTGGTGGTCGTAATGATGATAATAATGCTGGAGAGCAGATCAATTTACCGACAACAACACTACCAACATCGATGAAGAATAACAACAATGTCCCAAAATCGAATGACAACAACTGTAAGTATTCCTGAAGACATTTTCAAATAATACAAATAAGTATTAGGTTTTGAAAAAGGGAAATTGTAACACTTAAAGAGAAGGTAATATTAGGTTCATTGGGATTATGGAGGTATATTTGGCATTTGTAAGAATTTTGTATTCACCATTGTAGCAAATTATGGGTTAAGTTGAATGTAATGGCGATTCGTTGCAAGAACCAAAATGTTTTAAATTATAACCTTCACCAAATAAAGATGCAGAACGAGAGAGATATACAGAGAAAAACAGTGCAATGGTATTGACCAAAATGAAGTCAATACCGTACCGTACCCGATATTCGGTATTTTGATGATTTTAGCGACATTATTTAACGGAATTGTTTGAAATTTGGCATTTGAAGTTCGTAATGGATACTACCGCCTAAGACAGAAAATTATCTATGCAGGTCCACGTCTTCGTATAGCCCCTATATAACAGTACCCCCCGATATTCGGTGTTTTGATGATTTTAGCGACATTATTTACCGGAATCGTTTCAAATTTGGTATTTGAAGTTCGAAATGGATGCTACATCCTAAGTTAAAAAATGAGCCATGTAGGTCCACGTCTTCGTATAGCCCCCATATACCGTACCCTCCCGATATTCGGTATTTTGATGATTTTAGCGACATTATTTACCGGGATTGTTTTAAATTTGGCATTTGAAGTTCGTAAGTGATACTTCAGGCCATGCCAGAAAATTGTCTGTGCAGGTCCACGTCTTCGTATAGCCCCCATATAAAGGTACCCCCTATATTCGGTATTTTGATGATTTTAGCTACAGTCTAAACAGATTTTTCTTCAAGTTTCGCATTTAAATATTGTGATAACTTATGACAAAAGTTGCCTATGCAGGTCCATGTCGTCGTATATGTATTCGGTATTTTTAATGTTTTAACAGAATTTTTAACGAATTTTATTATTATTTTTTTTGGGAATTGTCAAATTTGTACCAAATGGTGGAGGGTATTAAAAGTTCGGTCCGGCGGAACTTACAGCTTTTTTACTTGTTAGTTCCTAAATTTAATAAGTTAAATGGAATCAGCCGGCAATGACGACTGCTGCATACACTCAACCAATTTTCAGTTTCTCAAGATATCGATAAATATAAGTATTTAAAATCGTTACCCTTTCTGGGAAAGAATCGTTACCCGAATGCTTGTTTTGCATTTTATGAGCGTTTTGTTATCCAAAATATTGACCTCTTTGTGGGGAAGGTATCAGAAGGATTTGGTCGCTATATCCCATATTTACATAAGATATTGTCTAGGTGGAAACATTAGGATACGCCGTTTATAAGGAATCGGATGCCCATTTCGCGTTTTGAGAGTACTAGAAGGAGTAGTCCGATATCTACCACACTCACAACAAATCGCCTGTCAATAAAAAATATTGGAACGTGTCGAATTTGAAAGAAACCGAATGATTTTCTCCCATTTTGTGAGCTTTGTTATTATTCAAAATGTTAACCCTTGTGGGGGAGGTATCAGATGGAGTTGTCCGATATAGCATAGATCTTGAGCTGGTAAAAATATTAGAATATGTGTAATTTGAAAATAATCGGACTATTATTTCACATTTTATAAGAGTTATAATTATACAAAATGTTAACCCTTTATGGATGAGGTAGTTGATGGAGTGGGCCGATATTGTCCATTTTTGCACCTCATCTAGAACTGGTGAAAATATTAAGAACTGCAAGATTGGAGGAACATCGAATGATCCTTTCTCTTTCTAAGAAGCATGATATTTTATTTGAAAGTTTTGACCTTTTGTGTGGGAGATACCAGAAGGAGAGGACCGATATTGCCTATTTCAGTGACGATCTAATATATATAATAATAATCTAATATATATAATATATAATAAGACTACCATGTACCAAGTTTGGATCAAGTCGGACTCTCCCTTCCAGAGTCATTTTAGTACTTCTGCAGAACTTTTGTTGTCAGTAACTTTTCATTTTCATGGAGTGGGAAAAATTCTTATAAACTGAAATTCCAGTCTATAAATTTGAAATGGATTGCCCGTTCTTGCCTGTTCTCTCTTCACCTCGTAGCGTGTCGACAGCGAAATGGAAAAATTAACATGTAAGTCGATAGATCTTTGGTAATTTTTATCTTCCGGAAGCGGTTAACTCTAATGACAAAGGAACATTGGAATCTTCTGGATCTATATAAAACCATTAAAGAAAGTCCTAAAGTCGGGCGGGGCCGATTTTATGATACCCTACACCACTTTGCTAATTTATTTGACCTCCACATAACAATTAAAAGTTTTTATGGGAGAATTCAGTCATACACCCTATGATTTTATTTATAATTTAAAATTCAAAGGACTAAATATGCCGAAGCATTTGTACCTTTTAAATTCGGGCATGTATTGCCCATTTGGTGCAAAATTAATTTGAAATCAGATAAAGATATATATAGGAGCTATATCCAAATCTGAACCGATCTCGATAAAATTTGGCAAATATATTTCTGAGCTGTATTTCATATATTTCTCTGAATATCGTTGTTACGGAGTGCATATTACGGTTGTGGGTAACAAATACAAGAAATCGGATGAACAATATATATGGGAGCTACAGCTATATCTGAACCGATCTTCACCAAATTTGGCATACTACCTTCTAGACTCAATTCGGTCGTATGTGCCAAATTCCATCCTATTTGGGCTAATATTAGACGTTTGATGCAAATTAAAGTTAAATGGGACGAAGTTATATATGGGAGCTATATCCAAATCTGAAACGATCTCGATAAAATTTAGCAAATGTATTTCTAAGCTGCATTTTATATATTTCCCCAAATATTGTTGTTGCAGAGTGCATATTACGGCTGCGGAGGGCAAAAATAACAAATCGGACGAACAATATATAGGGGAGCTATAGCTATATCTGAACCGATTTCGATCAAATTTGGCATACTTATTTTCAGGCCTAATTTGGTTGTATGTGCGAAATTCCATACTATTCGGGCTGATATTACACGTTTGGTGCACAATAAAAGTCAAATCGGACGAAGATATATATGGGGGCTATATCTAAATTTTTACCGATTATCTCCAATATCAATAGGATTCGTCCTTGGGCCAAACAAATGTTGTTTGGAAAATTTCATCTCAATCGGATAACAAATGCGACCTGCACTTTGTTCACAAGAATTCATGGACAGACGGACGGACGAACTGACATGCATAAATCAACTCAGAAAGTGATTCTATGCAGATCATCAAAAGGAGCTATGAGTCTATTTCGTTTCCTTTTGCCTGTTACAAACAAATGCACAAAGACATAATACCCTGACCACCTTGTGGTGTAGGGTATAAAGAGAAGTTAGTTGCTCCAGAGAGCAAGATTAGATGGAGACTGTAAAGAGGGGAAGGTCAGCTAAATCATCACTGAATGAGGTTTCCATACTACCCATATCCTTCCTTTGCCAGAATAATCGTAACACACAGGGAACCACCACCATCCGTTTCAGGACATTTGGAGTCGATCTAGCGATGTCTATCCGCCCGTCTGTAGGTCTGTCTGTTGTGCTCGATAACCCTCGAAGTGAGTATCCGATTTGATTCAAACTTGGTGCATCGTAGTATTATTGTCAAACTTAGATCGAGTTCGGAGATGGGCAATATCGGTCCACTCCTTCTGGTAACTCCCCCATAAAAGGTCGCCCGCATAAGGTTAAAATTTTGAATATCCATGAAGTTCATAAAATGCGAAATTAACATTCGATTCCATTTAGACTTGGTACATCTCAATATTTCCATAATCGCAAGATCTTTTGTGAGGATGGTAGAGATCGGACAAATTCTTATCTGTCATAGACTGTAGTGCAATTAGGAACTTCAAATTCGAAATTTGAAATAATTCCAGTGAATATCATCAAAATATCGAATATAGGGAGGTACAGTTATGTGGGACCTATAACTAAACGTGATCTGCAGACGAAACACACATTTGAGTAAAATTTTATTCTGATCAAGAATATATATACGTTGTGGGGTCTAAAATGTTTATTTTGAGGTGATACCAACGGATTGACAAACTCCATACTATGGTGAAGGGTATAAAAAGTTATCGTTACAAACTAAAACGATGAGGCAAGAGCACGGACCGGGTCAGCCAGTTTCTTTATATTTTTCATCCGCAATACCACATTTGGGGCCCAAATAACGAATCAACCAAAAATATTGCCGAATCTCCCTGAAGTTCACACAATCACAGTCGAAGAACTCATACTTAATTCGACAGTGTACAGAAAAAGAAAAGCTTGCGTCTGAAAATGTAACGTTGATATACCCAAATTTTCAAATTTCCAAAACCGCGGACGCTTTCTCTCACATCGTAGGTGCTGTCCTTTCACGGGAGGGAAAACCCTAATATTTTTTACGGACCATCAACCGCTAACATTTGCAATTTCGGGCATAAATCCAAACTCCAACTCCAAAATTAAGCGACGAGAGTCTTTTATGCGACGTAAAGATTTTTACGAGGAGTCCAAGAACATGATAGTCATAACTGATAGCGGTTTCAATGGATCCGCTGCCTGCCACTTTTTATTGGCTAGCTTTCTGTCCATCGGACAATTTGCAGGCTACTATTGACGTCTATATTATTTTTTTTTTAATGGGTATATACAATATCGGCCATAATCTAAGCACCCCCTCAGTACATATTTTTTATACCCTCCACCATACTATGGAGGGTATATTAATTTTGTCATTCCGTTAGTAACTCCTCGAAATACTCACGTCAGACCCAACAAAGTATATATATTCTTGATCAGCGTAAAATTCTAAGACGATTTAGCCATGCCCGTTTGTCTGTCTGTGTGTCTGTCTGTCTGTCCGTCTGTCTGTCTGTCTGTTGTAATCACGCTATCTTTCTAACAAATTGAGATAGAAGGCTAAAATTTCGCACACATGTATATTTTGCCAGTAGGCAGGTTAAGTTCGTAAATGGGTCATGTAGGTCCAAGTTTTCATATAGCCCCCATAGCGGTCTCGATATTCGGTATTTTGATGATTTTAGCGACATTATTCACCGGAATTGTTTCAAATTTGGCATTTGAAGTTCGTAATGGATACTACAGACTAAGACAGAAAATTATCTGTGCAGGTCCACGTCTTCGTATAGCCCCCATATAACGGTACCCCCCGATATTCGGTATTTTGATGATTTTAGCGACATTATTGAACGGAACCGTTCCAAATTTGGTATTTGAAGTTCGTAATAGTTACTGCAGCAGAAAACAGAAAATGGGCCATGTAGGTCCACGTCTTCGTATAGCCCCCATATAACGGTACCCCCTATATTCGGTATTTTGATGATTTTAGCTACATTATAAACAAATTTTTCTTCATGTTTCGCATTTAAATGTTGTAATAACTTATGACAAAAGTTGCCTATGCAGGTATACGTCGTCGTATAGACATTCGGTATTTTTAAGATTTTAACAGAATTTTTAAAGGATTTTTTTATTTTATTTATTTATTTTATTTTTTTTTTTGGAAATTGCCAGATTTGTACCAAATGGTGGAGGGTATTAAAAGTTCGGCCCGGCCGAACTTACAGCTTTTTTACTTGTTAAATGATAATATTTTTAAGAAAACAAAGTAATTAAATTTTTTTTTTTTTATTTTTAATTATTTATATCTTTGTTATTGAAAAACACAAACTTAAGGAATTCAGAATTTAATGAAAAAAGTTAAAATTAAAAAAATATTTTAAGTCGCAAATGGAAGCGGATTAGAATTCTTGATGATTGGAAAGCCGGCTTATAAAGACATCAATTGAGTGCAAAATATTCGATCAGCAGATCAATTATTTCTAGGCTAATTAAAAAGTTTTTGCAGACTGGTCGCACATCTCCTACTCATTCTGGAGGAAGGCCACGTGAAACTTCGCGACAGGAAGACTCCTTAATCAAAATGACAATCCAAAATGATCCTACAGCATCTTCTAGTCACATACGGAACCGCTTAGATTTAAAAATTAGCGAATTATTCGCAGAAAGGCGGTAGAGGCCGGATTATTCAGTAGACGACCAGAAAAAACCTTTCATATCGTCAAAAAATAGAAAAGCCAGACTTGAATTCGCAAAGGGCCATCTCAGCTGGAGTGTCCAAAAATGGAAAACTGTGCTGTTTTCTGACCAATCTAAGTTTAATTTAAAGGATTCAGATGGTATAAGGCGTGTACGCAGACCAAATGGGCAAAGGTTAAATCCTAAATATTGCAAAGGCACTGTAAAGCATGGAGGCGGAAATATAATGGTTTGGGGTTGTTTCTCTGGGCAAGGGATTGGGCTAATTCATAAGATTGATGGAATTATCGATCGTTTTATGTATCGTGACATATTAAGAGACGTGATGTTGCCTTATGCTGAAGAAGAGATGCCACTACAACGGACATTCCAGCAAGATAACGACTCCAAGCACACACAAAAGTGGTTTCAGAACAATTTGATAAAAGTTCTCCCTTGGCCTGCCCAGTTCCCCGATCTTAACCCAATCAAAAATCAACCGAGAAAATTGCAAAACCAAAGAAAATTTATTTGAAGCCGCAAAAATAGCCTGGGAAGCCATATCACCTGATATAATTAATAATTTAATAAACTCTATGCCTAAAAGATGTGCGTGTGTCATCCAGAATAAAGGATTCGCAACGAAATATTGATTTCAATCGTTTTTTTTTTCACCTTAAAATGGGGGTGCTTTAGTTTAGTCCACTTATAATTTCGACTTAAAATATTTTTTGAATTCTAACATTTTTTTAATAAATTATGAATTCCTATAGTTCTTGTTTTTCAATAATAAAGGTATAAATAAATTAAAAAAAATAAAAAAAATTGTTTTAAAATTTGTTGTCTTAAAAAAATTATCATTTTAAAAAAAAGTACTGAAGAGGTGCTTAGGATTTGGCCAATACTGTATATCGTTTTAAGGCATCGTATGGTGGATGTCATCTGGTACCATTATCTCCGGGAGCAGTTTCATATTTTACTTGGACACTAATTTCCAATTATGTTCGAAAACATCCTTTTATGTATTTCGTCCTTTACATTTGATTCATGTGATATAATCATCTTGATTTCAATGATATTTATTTGTTTTAATCAAAATAACATCAAATTTCCCATATTTCTTTTTTTCTAGCCCTAAACGACATTGGAGCCATAACAAATTTGATGTCTGAGGATACCCTGAATATAATGTCCTTCTTTTGGATTGCTCACTACGTTTGGGCCATACCGTTGAAAGTAAGTACTTAGTTGCTGTAGTAGTAAATCTTTGCTAGAGATAAATGAAACAAAATTCTCCAGAATCGATCTGGTAATTATCGAGAATTCCCATCCAATTTGGCCAACGCTTCATTGACAATAAATAACAAATTGGACATTATTCAATGGAAAAAAATATTTATTTTTTCCGATAGATTTTTTTCAACTTAACGAAGGCAAAAAGAAATCAAAAAGAGAAAAAACGCCAACAATTGAGAAAGACGAGATAGTGTAATGTAAAATAAATGGTTTTAAAATGCAATTAATTTATAGTTACAAAAAAGCCAGTCAGTAAGTGGGGGAGGAAAAGGGAGAGAGAGAGGGAGAGCAAAGGGACCAGGGCAGAGTTACTAATTTTTTTTTGCGGCCGACAGATTTATATCCAAAACTTCAATAATGGCAGGCAACCAAAATGATGGATATAAAAATCTCGTTTGAAATTAAAATGGAATGGAAATTCATTGGGAATTTTATTTCTTTGTTTCGAACGAAACGGAAACTGGACAGCACTGTAACAGTTTCCATAATTTATGCTCTTAAAGTGTTTGATGAGCGAGCGAGGGAGAGTACTAAAAACGCAGCAAGGCAGTATTGATTGACCTACATTTTGATACTTGGGAGTCGTGTTGGAAATTGTTTAATTGTTCACAGAGCATTTTTTTCTGAAATGGAATGTTCTTAATGATTTAATACTTACTTTTATTGAGTTTACATTTTTTATAGACGTAATTGGTCTTATAAAGAGCTACGTTATAAATGGTTGAATCAACTGAGGCTGGAATAATAATTTTTATTAGCATGTGTGTGTGAGCAGAAAATTTATATTAAAAGGCACTAAATAATATCCCATGGACACCCTACCCGGTAGAGAGGAAAAGTCTACTTTTAGAGTTCTTTCTTCAACAAAAAATCGATTTTTCTTCTCAACATAAAGTCGACTGAAATCAATTTCGATTTTATATTTTATTCGTCAACCAACATAAAAGCTTTGATTGTGTTTGTTTCACAGGCGTGAAAATCTAGAGAGTCCCTATCTCTCTCTCTATCTCTCTCTCTCTCGGTAAACTTTGTTTGTGTTAATTCAGCTGCTGGAACAAACCGATTGTTAAACCAATTTTGGAAATGAAAATGTTGAATGAATTATTGAAAAATTCATATTATAATCACCTCTGATTTGCGTCGTATAAAAAAACATTTAAAAATCCACTTATTTTTATACCTTGAACCTCCTCCTTATAATAACTTTGTCATGCCGTTTGTAACATCCCTAAATATTCGTCGTAGACCCCATAATGTATATATTTTCATAATCAGCATAAAATTTTAAGACGATTTAACGATGTCCGTCTGTCTGTCCGTCTTTCTGTTGAAATCACGATACAGCCCACATTATTTGTCGTAGAGCGTCAAAAATTAGCAGAAAAATGTTTATTGTGTCTAGGATGGTTGGTATTGAATTGATGAGACATATCGGTCCAAGTTTTGGTATAGTCGCCATATAACGGTACATCCCGATTTTCGGTATTTTGATGGTTTTTGTCACATTTTTGCATTGATTTGTCTAAAAATTGGTATAGGTCCACATAACATTTTATGTATAGGTCCACGCTTTGGTATAGCCTCCATATAACGGTATCTTCCGATATTCGGTATTTTGATGGTTTTTGTCACATTTTATCGCGGATTTTTCTAAAAATTGGAATTTGTTGATCATAATGAGTTCTAGCTCCGTTGGCGAAATGTTGTATGTATAGGTCCACGCTTTTGTGTAGCCCGATATTCGGTATTTTGATGATTTTTGCCACATTTTCCCACCAATTTTTCTAAAAATTGGTATTTGTGGGTCAAAATTGGTTCTAGTGTTTCAATTACCCTAAGTTGGAGGGTATTAAAAGTTTGTCCGGGCCGAACTTAATGTTTTTTACTTGTTCAAAAAATTTTGACATATCAATGTTCCCAAGCGTAGATGCATCTACCTATATTCTTCTACCATGACGCAATCATTGTTTTGTGTATAAAACTCACCATCGATCTGTAAATTCACAACCGGAACTGATTTTTTACTTTAACATAAAATGAACACAGACAATGTTTACCGAGAGAGCGAGAGTTACTCTCTTTGATGTGCATGTCTGTGAAACATACGCAATCAAAGCTTTTGTGCAAAGCATGGGTAAAAATAAATATATCGTTGCATAATTTTTGGCTGCCATGGAAAAATTCACCAAAATCTATGAAGGGCCGAATTTATGGCAAGAAAACGTAGAGCTGTATAGAGCTGGAACTCTAATTTTTCTAAGAAGAAATTTAAACTTATTCTAAAATTTGATGCTATTTCCGACATCTTTTATTTTACTTCAGTAAAATTTAAAAAGAATGTAAAAATTATGGCGTTTGACTTTGTTGAAGTTTTTGATCTTACCCTGTAAATTGGATATGTAATTAAACGCCAATCTCAAATTGAAAAAGTCGGTTTTGCAGTCAGATGGAGGTATTTAAATTTGGAATTTTGACTTCTATTATAATTAATCAAACTGTTGACACTGTAAGGTATGGGCCAAAATTGTCTATTTCATATAGGATCTAAAAAAATATGCGAGTGCCAGATTTGGACTATATCGACTACTTCCATGACTTCATGTGAGATATGTGATAATTTTATGAAAATGTTCATATGTGCGTGAGGTACCAGTTATAGTCGACCGAAGTATTCCATATTCATACTAAAGGCCTGCACAAGACGAATTGTATGAATTGTGCTTTTTTCGACACACTGACTTTGTCTACTCAATCATGCGCTATGTATTTGATAGGCAATGACAACCAACAACATCCCCCATTTTGATTCATATGTGCCATTGTCTAAAGTTCGATCGTGGCATGGCTGACTCGAATATTTGCATGGTGTTCTCCATAAATGCAGGGTGTCAACGATGACATTGAACCGTGTCATCGTCAAATTGTGTGTCATTTGTGTACGTGTGCTTAAATTGAGAGAGTGTGTGTGTGTGTTACTTTCGACGGTGAGGGTGTGTTTTTGTGTGCGCTGTAATTTTGAAGTAACAAACACCGCGTAAATATAAAATTGAGTTCAATAACAAAATGTGTATAGACATCAACAAATTAATAGAAAAAATGAAATACATTCTTAACAATCCCAATTTATTGGTGATTATCATAAAATTTTGGTCATAAAAAAGAGGTAAATATTGTTTGCCTATTTTCTATCAACATATAGTGTTCTTTTACACCTCAATACCGGAGGCAAACATTTATGAAATCAATCAAAATGAGGAAATTTTTCAGGGGATTATTGTTTTTTAATAAGGACTAACATTTTAGATTGTTCGTCAATAACCACGAAATGTGAAAATTTTGTGTGGACCAATTAGAATTACCTTTAATATTTTAGTAATCGCCAAGAAATTCTTTATTACAAAATATTTTTTTTTCACATATCGAGAAAGCAGGTAGCGATTGCGCTTTGCCTTCATCACGTGTGTGTCTTTTTCGTTGGCAATTGTTTCATATTTGTTGTTGTTTTTTGATAGAACATTTTTGTATGACACACTATTCAACAATCCCTTTTATTGGTATATGTTATGACGATGGGTTTGAGTGTGACCGACATGACGAGACATCGAGCATTTGGTTGGATGTCACGTACTGTTATGCGTTTGATCAAACAGGGCACAACATCTAATAGAGATAAAAATATTGGTATGGGAAAAATTACAAGAAAATCGAATATTTATATCAAATTTTATGCGAAATCATAAATTCCATATTTGTTTCAGGTTTCTGGTTGAGAGAAATATTTAGATATATATATGTACCAGAAGAGATTCGAAGTTATATGTCATCTTCACAACTGATCTTGTATTAGCAAAAAATGTCAGATTTTTCGTTTTTCAACAATCTTGAACCCCAATCTTGTAGGTACCAGAAAATATGGTTTGATCTCTACCATCTTTATAACAGATCTTGTGTTGATGGAAATATTGATATATGTCAAGTGTGAATGGATTCGGATGTTAATTTCGTTTTTTAATGAGCTTCATGGATATTCATAATTGTTTAGCAATTGTTGTGGAGGTACCAGAAGGAGTAGACCGATATATCCCATCTTCACAACAGATCTTGTATTAGTAGAAATAATGGGATGCGTGAATTATAGGGAGAACCTGATGCTTATTTTGGGTTTGGGTGGACCGATAATGTCTATTTTCGTACCTGTCCTAACAGAAAATAAATTTTTTGAACATTTCGACTTTTTTTGTGAGGGGGGGGGGGGGTACTAGAAGGAGCGGTCTGATATCGTCCATCTCCGAACTCGATCTAAGTTTGACAAAAATACTACGATGTACCAAGTTTGGATCACTCCCTTCAAAAGTTATCGGGCGCACCAGCCAGCCAGACAGACAGACGGACGGACACCGCTAGATCGACTCCAAATGTCCCGAAACGGATTTAGTCCAAAGAGTTCTAGGGTCTGAATTCGTTATTTCGTTGAGGCACGTTTTGGCCGTATATACCATCTCTAGCCATATGGCTGAGGGTATTAAAATATCATAAGCTGAAAGTTGACCTTGATAACTTAGAGATGGATGGATTGATTTTGATAAAATTAAAACATCGCTCTCAATTCATGGGAAGTATAATTTTGTCAGATTCTGAGGCTTTTCAGAGGAGTACGTCCTTCTATAGCTCTTCATGCCTTCAATAAAAAGAAAACTTTGTTCGAATTTCTTCTTTCACGAAAAGCCACTAAGTTTAGTGGACAAATGAGAGTTTATTCAGGGAATAGCTACTCAGAGTTTGATGCCGTCGTTTGCACTCACGATTTTCAATAGAAAGCTCTTCTCATAATGTACGTGGGATAGCCATTAACAAAGTTTTTGCATTGATTCAGGTTGTCTTATCTAACCTACAGATTCCTTACAATGACTCTTTAGAGAGGTTTCTTTTAGTGAAAGCCT